AACCGTCGTGCCAATCTTCAAGAATAGTCACCATACTTTGTGCGAGAATCGGCGAGATATTAGTCTTATATCCGTTGCCTCAAAACTGCTCACGGGCATCATTCTTTGATGACTTACTGATCCGCGTGAGACTCGAATTACTGGAAGTCAGGCTGGCTTCTGTCCTACTCATGCTTGATCACCTAATTACTTTTCGCCGAGTTCTAGAGCAGAGACGCACTTACAGACGACCGCTTATGGTGGTTTTCCTTGTGTTGTAGGCTGTCTTCGACTGTTGACCACGCCACTTTGTTACACTGTCTATCCGTGAAGGGCGTCCTGACTAAATACCTTTCCATTGACCGGCTTCCTCGATGTGGATTATACGTCGTGGCTGCAACAAGTTGGGCGAAACCGCGAGGTGGTCAGTCCATGACATGGCATAGTGGCATGAAGAAATTGACTGACGCTGGTGCGTGCCATATTCTTGGATGGCGGCGTCGGGACGGTCCACGCCAATGGTTGGAGACATGGCGCAGTCACGAAGTCAGTGGTGTTCCTGCATTCGGCTTCTTTCATCTAGTCGTCAATTGTCGTTCCATTCTAATTAGTTCAACGCATTTCCCTCTTGCATTCTTTCCGCCCGCAAACCCACTATCTTGTACCTGTCATTTTTTGTTATTCCTGCCATTTGCGTCGTGGACACCAGATCCACCGCATTTCGATGCTCGGACCCTAGTTGTTCATCTGAACTGAATTGAACTGATCTCCCCTCCCATCACAAACGGTGATCTAGTGATGACGGTCATCATCATCATCATCACCATCATTATCCTCCTCCTCATCATCCTCACTATCATCATCAATCATCATCGTTAACAACAGCAGTACATCAGCCATTTGAACTGATGCTTCGCTACCACGCATCTATGATGACCTATGGAATAACGAATAATAAGAGGGAGAGAATTGGGACATTAATGAAAACGATTATCTCCTAAGCAGACATTCAGGTCCAAGGCGCCTACACCTTGTGTAGACAACATACCCTCACAAACAGCTGGCTATCGTGCAAACGTAAGAAGGCGTCGGCGAGACAGCTTCCTTGCGGCTTTCACTTCCCCTCGTCATAATCAGCCATTACCGCGCAGATAGCACCAAACACACTTTAAACAGATAGTCCGATTAGGAGACGGCAGTAGACGTGCCACTGGGGTTGGTTGCGAGCAATATCCTGTTAAGTTTTCGCCAAGCACAAGGCGAGTCACGTAGACTGCAGCCCGGAAAGCGAGACGGACCAACGGCACCCAGTTTGGTCGTCGGTGACTTCATTTCCCGCTGCCAAGTCAACTTGTGTCCACTTCGAGCCTTGCGTCACTCTACACCTGGTAGACTAAACAAGGCCCTCCTAGGTAAACGGAGACCAGGCATGCGTAGCACGTGCCCGAGCCAACGCAACTTATTCAGTACTGTCGATTGTTCTATGGAGTTAGCATGATTATCATTACCTAGTACTCGCCTACGCACATCATCGTTTCGGACACGCTGGTGCCATCCGACACTAGCATTGTTTGGCAGACAACAATGACCAAAGACTTGAATGTGCCTCAGATCTTCAAACGGCACTGATCAATTCTTACTACCATAGAGCAGAACGGCTCACACTATGGCCTTGTATACACTACCTTTCAGACGGAGGGAAACTCCCTTCTGACACCGAAGATGCCGCAGGTTCAATAAGACAGCTCTGCCATTGGCAATATGTGAGTGAACGTCCATCGTTGCGCCCATCATTGCTGATGCAGCTGCCAAGATAAGTGAGTTGATCAAGCACTTCGAGTTCCTCGTCAACAAGGGTCAAGGGGTCATCAAGTGGCTGGTGATCCTGCAGCAACTCTTTGAAGGCGCGAAGTGCATGCCAAACAGTGGGACCACTCTAATGAGGCTATTCTGGGTTGGTTGTGTCGCTGCAACATCGTCAAAAAGCACAGCGATATCGTCCGCATAATCAAGATCATTTAGCCTTTCACCAGACAGCACCTCAGCGCCAACATTGTGAGGTTCTGCAAAAGAACATTCCATGATAGAGTAAACGACGAAATTGAACAAAAATGGGGAAATCGGACAACCTTGAAGGACGCCACTTGTGGTCGGAAAACTATCCGATTGGCCCCCATAGACCCTGACGCGGCCTGTAGTGTTCGAGTATAGAGCACGAAGGATGTTCACATATATCATGGGAACACCTTTCCTCGTAGGTATGTCGAACAGAATTGATCGATCGACTGAATCGAACGCATCCTTGAAATCGAGGAACACAGAGCTTTCGGTAATTGCCTACTGCTCCTGCCTCCTCCATTTCTTGAGTCCGACTGGTCCACCGGGCTTCCTTGTCAGCACGCAGGCTCTGCTTTAGTTCACGCTTAATAGCCCATCTGGTCATGTTGTGTTCAGTGCCCGCCGGAAGGTTTCTTCTAGATTCCAACAGGTTCACCGACTTCTCGGATATCCAGTGACTGGTGTGGTAACTATTAATAGTGCCACAAGCAGATGATCCTGCGACATGCATGGCGGCTGAGATCGTATTCCACTGAAGCTCAGTGTCATTAGGACAAGACAGAGAAAGTTCGGTTTACAGTGCTTCTTGATAAGCTTGCCTAACCGGGGGCTGAAACAATTTCTCAGTTGCCAGTCGAGGGAGACTCTTGGAGTGCCTATCGGTAAAGTTCATGGTGGAACGACAGCGTACCAAGGCATAATCATAGTCGACGCAGGTATTGCAGTACAAGCGGCAATCTAGGATGGAACCACGCCACCTGGAACTTACGTCTATGTGGTCAATTTGGGTCCATCGCTGGCCAGCTACAGGAGGACGCCAAGTGGCACTTTGGCGCCCACTGTGTCTAAAAGCAGTGCTACTAAGAAACAACTTGCCCCGCATACAATTGCAGCAGACGCTCGCCGTTATCAATCCGCTCGAAGTTAAGCCCATAATTGCCACACAGCTGAGCTTCTGAAGAGCTCAGACGTCCTACTTGTGCATTCATATCCCCAGCAAGTACTATAATATATGAACTAGTAGCACTGCGCAGTGATAGAATGTGTCCTTGACAGTATTTGAACTGCAGTCGGTGGGAGTATAAGCGGAAATCACAAACAAACAGCGCTTTTTACTACTTTGTGAATCAACCTTAGCTGATGTCGTCAAACGGGCTGCACATAAACGGCTGTTTACCGGAATCCAATCAACCAACGATGGCTCAGCCTTGGAATTTAGAATACCTACACCAGCTTGACCCGTGAGTGCTGCATTGGTGTCTCCGGATGTGTGCGACCAATAAGGAGAGGATAACCCGGGTGCAGTTAATTCAATAACGCCATTAGGGTCATTGATCCTTGTTTCGAAAACACAATACTATCAATACCCAGTATGTCTGTAGGTGCATGGGAGTGCAGCCTATTGACCTATTTGTCTTAGAATGCGAACCTTGTACGTCGCCATGGAAACGGGGCAGCATGGCCTTATAAGGGACTTTTGCCGATAGGCGTCCGGTGCTTGTCGCGAGAAGGTGGGTTCTGATGGTTCTACTCCAGTGGCACTTCGGTTGCTGGGAATTATAGAAGGAAGGTCAGTAATGGGGGTCGGGATGGGAGTAAGAGAAACGGGTGGAAAAGAAAGGAGGCGCCAGCAGTGACATGTTTTCGCTTATCCGCCCTGCTGTATGAAACAGATAAGGCGACCCTTGAAAATCTGTGCGACGACCCGTGCAGGATGAAGTTTATGTTTGAAGAAAAAGTCATGGGCTGAGATGTCTCCATGATTTTTGCACAAAGTATGGTGACTATTCTTGAAGATTGGCACGACGGTTGACAGTCACCAGTCTCAAGACAACTCTTCAGTGTCTCAAAGCGTGTTAAATCGAGCAGTGAGTCCAATCAACAAAAAGTCACCACCCTCTTTCAGCAAAGATGGAGAATGTTCGTCGGTCTGGCAGCCCACATTCGTTCCAACACAGAAAGCTTATATCGAATCTCTTCCCAAGTGGGAGATGTGACATCAACTTCCCATGAAGGCTCAGGTGATTCGTCAACTGGCAGTGGCGCAGTAGGCCCGCCGAACTGCTGCTCATGTTTTCCTACCTATCGGACCAGTCAATGGCGTTTAGAATGGATCAAGTGCCCATTTTTCTCAGGTATTGTCTCGCTATTTGATGACTTCTCGGACCCGTGTTCCGGATAAGTTGGAATAGCACTCGGCTGTTCCCATGTAACGGGCTTTTACCATACACCAATGTTCCCGATCAACTCGAAAGCTTATCAGACGTCGTTACGGAGAGTTAAGGAGACGCTGAAACTCAGTGTTCATCGGAACCTGTTTACGTGTTTCCAGCAAACTGATCGATGCCTCAGAGTTGCATTCATAGTTGTGAGGTCTGTTTTTGGGTGTCCAGCATGCGTCAAAGGCATTCTTGATGGCGCAGTTGAGACGATCCCATTCAACATTCGGCTCACCAACCTCATTCATCACTGACAATTGGTGGACCAGTCCGTTATGATATTGCTAAACGGCAGACCGCGAGTTTAGGTTACACGTAAGGTTAGAAGATAGGCGCTTCTTTCGAGTGGGGAAGAGTGAGCGCCAAGCGTGCGCGCATTAGAGCATGGCAGAGGGGAGATTCGAAGTACCTCATACCGAAGATTCGCTGCCAAGTGACCACAGGTAACTGCGTGCGGGTTATAGATAATGAAATACTACCGATCAGTCGCTTTACAATCGATTAGACTGCGAGTGCCGATAGGGTGAGGAAACCTGGTAATAACAAACAGACTGGATATCATGAGAAACTCAGACACAGGTATATCGCCGTCGTTGTCATGGAACCTCAGTCAACTGTACTTTAGCTCCCGTAGGCAATTGGTGTGGTGATAGGTGAGAAACAATTATACAGACCACTTGGAACAAGTATACCGAATAAGTTGTGAAAACGTAGATCATTCAAATGTAGGACAAATCAACGCACTCGTATTTCGGTCCGCATGGAGTCAGTAAGCTCGATGAGGACCTCAAACAACACCGGTGCTTGCCCAGTGCTAGTGGAAAGATTTGCATTGGTGTTGTCGTTCTTCGGTCGGCTGGTTCCCTGATGTCTTATAATGGTGGGCTTATGGCTATCGAAGGTGAGGCGGTCGTAAATGATGCTGTACAACGCCTTACCGATCATAAAATGTAGCGATGGAGTCCATTGCGGCCAGTCTTGATGCTTGATGATGAATTGAAAGTGTGGCATAGAGACAAAAGAATAAAGCGCACTAAAAGGAATACGTATCTGAGGTATTTGAAATCAGCTGATGTTCACGAAATTCCCGTGTGCGAAAATGAGCAGGAAAACTAGTTTGTCTACAATGTGTGAATAATAGGTTAGAGAAGTGAAACGGTATGCCAACACACCCTTACATGTCTACCCACCATTGCGATGGAAATCAAAAGTCAAAAGTTGTTAAAATGATATGAAATAATCTTGGGAATTCTAAAAGGTAGTCGTAACGACGGGCTCTTTGGAACAGCGCCAATTCACTGCGTGCATTTTAGTAGACGCTACCCAGATTCGTAAGAAAAAATTCCCGCGTAGAACCTGATGACCATTTCGACCAAAACAAGTCCGATTTAAACAAACTGTGCAAACGACTGTATGAAACGATACCGTTTCCCAGCCAACTGCACGCACAACGCTTTCAAATTTGTTGTGGTCTTCTATGAATCGCTCAAACGCTCGACCCAAAACAGAAGTAGAAGGATGTCAACAAGGAACACTCTCTTGCGAGAAGACAATATGAGGTACATATTGGAGACGATTCCATTGGTTTATAAAGTCCTCCTACACAATGACCTAGAGACTGTAACTGTGGAAAACTGTCATTGGTTGAAGCAACGTCATGACCATGAGGCAAGCGAATCGTCTTCGAGCCGGAATGCTGAACGTTCTATCCGACTGATTTCGTTAGGGTCTGCGTCCCCTAACACTCCCTTTGAATGAATCGCATAAGATTTCCGCTTGGGGTTCACCTGCATCGGAGTCACTGACTTACGGCGTCAATCCGTCCAACTCCTTAGTGCTAACTCCGGTATAGAGGTAGGAATGGGAGTCTCCTGGTCAGGTTTGGAGTCTGCTTGGCTGAAACGAAATGTGTCGAGGAGCAATTCTAATGGCAACATACTGCGCGTTGGTGATGCATCCGGATAGGAACATGCTTGTAACTGATTGGCGTGTTGGACCCAAATTTCAGAATTAACAGCAACGTCATACGTGACACATCCAGTTCGACGAATGATACGTCCTAGAGTCCAGATAACCTGGTTGTTGCGGTAGTCCTTTGCTAGTACCAGTTGCCCATTGAGGAAAACTCGATTCTGAGCACCGTGTCCCCTGTTGAACTGCTGTTCCGTTTTGCAGTTTCGGCTCAGGCTGTTCCTGTCAGATGGTTTAAGCAAATCGAGGCTGGTTCGCAATTTCGTTGCATCAGTGCTTTAGCAAGAGATTTAGCTTGAGGCACCTGCTGATTTGGAGTTATCCTGTAGGCAAAATGAAAAGTCTCAAGGATATCGGCCGTCGGTCCCTCCCCTTCGCTTTCCGTAATGCTCTCTTGAAGGTGTCTACGAATCGCTCTGATAGGCCGTTCGACTGTGGAGGATATGGAGGTGACTTCATGTGGGTTATGCCATTTTTGTTGTAGAAGTCCCCAAAAACCGCCGAAGTGAACTGAGTTCCGTTGTCAGTCACTAATATGTCCGGATACCCAAAGCGACTGAAAATGTGACGAAGGGCAGTAATAGTCGCTGAGGCAGTAGTAGATGGCATGTGCAATACCTCTGGCCTCTTATTGTTGCGTCAAGTAGGATAAGGAAGTTGTTTCCAATAATAAATACAGCGGAATCGGCATGGAGCTTAGATCATTGTTTCTCAGGATCCGGCTAACAATGGACATCTGCTTTCCTTAGCGACTTCGGAGCAAGTGTGCATTTGGAGCAACAGCGGGTAAGCTCTTCGACTTGAGCATCCAGATGAGGCCGGTACATGTAAAAAAATAAATAATAATAGTAACGTGTCAGTTGTACGCCGTAACGGCGCTTCGCTGCCGTGCGACGACCACCAGTCGCACGCGGGCTGCGTATACCGCGAGGAGGGCCACCCCTACTCGGATCCGAACCTGCGCCGCAAGATTATGAGACAAGCCACGGGCTAGATAGATTCTGGCAAATGCCTTTATACAGTTTATGCACGTGTGTCCGGTGTGAAACTGCTTCAGAACCCTCGGCTGAAGTTCTTTGCGAACCACTACTGGTTCTGCAAAGAGTAGACAGTCGTCAACAATTGACACGGAATGGCGACGCTGATGAAACTGCTTCAGTTCACTGTCTTCCATCTTCTGTGGCCATTTTGATCTGTGAAAACGGATCACTTGCTGGAGCATCGGATCATGTGATGTTGCGACGTGTACCTGCGAATGTGTTACTGGGATAGTCTTAATTGCATCTGCGACAACGCAACGAACTTCAGGCCCGAGCTAGATGCTAGCCACTACAACATCCTCTGGCTCCTGTTGATCTTTGTCCATGAGGCGTGATAAAGCATCGGTCTGACCAATGTTCCCAGTCGAACGGTACTTGATTTCGAAATCATATCCCAAAAGCGTTGTGGCCCACCTCTGAAGGCGATTCGCTGAGTACACGGGAATGCTCTTCTTGGAACCGAGGATAGCAAGTAGGGGCTTGTGATTCGTGACCAGAATAAAATGACGGGTATAAAGCATTTTGTGAAATTGCTTAATGGCGTAGATGATCGCCAATGCTTCTTTTCCATTGTGACTGTAGTTTTGTTCCGCCGGCGTCAACGATCGGGCAGCGTGAGGAATTGTCTTCTCAGTTCCATCAGGAAAGCGGTGAGATATAACCGCGCCAACTCGGTAATTAGACGCATGTGTAGCAACAATGATATTTCAGTTCGGATCGTAACGAATCAACAGCAGGTCTGATGACAGCATGGCTTTGATCCTGTCAAAAGCTTGGCTGCATTCCGCGCTCCAACACCACTTGGAATCTGTGAGAAGTAACGTATTTAGTGGAACCCGTATGCTACGCAACGCTAGCAAAAATGCACTGTAGTGACTCACCAATCCCATGAAGGATCACAGCATCGTCGTATAATGTGGTGGAGACATATTCTGAATGGCCTCAATATTAGCGGGGTCTGGTCATCGACTGTGATGATCAATGATGAATCCCAAGTATTTTACCGAATCCATGTAGAAGACCCTTTTCTTCTCTCAAGCGAAAGCAATAATCTTGGATTCGATCAAGCACGTTTTCAATCCGGTTCTCTAAATACGCCGGAGCAGTGCCCATGATAATGATATTGCCAGGATATGCTGCAACAGATGGGATGTCCAGTAACATTGTGGCGATAATCTGTTGAAAAAGGGCATGTATCGTTTTTACTCCAAATGGTAGGCGAGTGTATCGAAAAAGACGGCTGAGTATTGATAATCAGCAGCTCTTGTGAATCCTCAGAAACTTCCACTTGGAGGTATTCGTCCGACAAGTCCAGTTTCGCGAAAAATTTTCCACCATCTTTAAAGAAATCAAATTCCTACATAGATCTCTCAAGAGAGTTTCTAACACTATCAAATTGCATACTACGGTCGTAGATGACGCTAAAAAATCATGTTGTCCGTTGGATGACCAGTCTCAAAGCAGCCGAGATTATGACAGATGAGTACATGGAGTGAGATGCTACTTGCTGATTTGGGATTGGTAATCTAATGAACAGTAGTATTTAAGGTCGTTTGCGCTTGTTGGATGCAATGTGATGGCGTTAAGGACCGTGTTGAGAGATGTATGGAGGAACATGATTTCTTTAAAGAGGAAGTAGGAAGTGCTATGGATGCAAATGACTGAGAAAAGGTATAGTAATGAGAATTGTCATCAATGGGACCGTCCGAGTAATCCCAAATGTGCAGTATCCACACTCAGTGCCACGCTTTGACTCAGCCGTGGCGCATCATATGAACAGAGATCTTGTCATATCCGAAATGAACGTTAAATGGGACCCATCACGAACAGCAAGGTGATCGGAATGGTCAAATGAACAAAGCTCTAGTAGAAAACATTGCTCTATACGTTCAGAGGTGACCGTAGGTCAAATGATGAAGATAAGTTACAGAAGACGTTGGGAAATCGCTTCAAAATGGTATTGATCTAAGTCCAAATGTGTAATTTGGGTTACCTCGGCTAGAAATCACAAGCCGAAAGCGAGAAGAACAACTCTACACCGGAATGAAGAAAGCACAAATATGCATCCTCACGCGAAGGGAAAAACACCCTAAATGGCAAGCGCACGCGGGAGCTTACCAGAGTTGCTGCGCCTTTTTTGGCTCGGTCGTGCAGTATGGAGTGCCACATCGAACGGAATTGAGGTTGGCTCATCTCTTCGTGGCAAAATTGTTTCACATATTCAGTGTACACTTGTCTCAGCTGTTTTGTGTAAGAAAGCAACAAGAGATATGGGATCGATGAAAAAACGTTGAAGAAAAACATGCACATGACGGTGAAACATCCGTTCGCAAATAAAATCGTATTGGAACAACCAGTGAAGCAAGGAGCTAACGTCGCTGGATGCACTAAAGTATTATCCCACGATGATGGTGACGATGGGTCAGCTGTAGGTCGTAACGGCGCTTCGCTGCCGTGCGACCAACACCAGACGCTCACGGGTTGAGTATACCGCGAGGACGCCCACCCCTTTGCGGATTAGAACCCGCGCCGCAAGATTACGGGGGAAACTCGTTATCTCTAGGCTACGGGCCACTATATCACCCAGTGACCGAGTTAATAGATAAACAAACAGGAGGGGAGCGGAGACCACCACTCAGAGAAGACATGAAGGCATACATCTTACTGACCTCGTCCACGACGCCGGCTCTCTCTTTGCGATACAGGTCGCAAGCAGATTCCACACGCTCCCCAAGCTGAAGGCAAACCAGGTTGGAGTTCACGTGTTGCAGAGTGGAGTCCAGAGCGATCTGGTCGATCGCCTGATGGAATCAAAGAAGGAACGATAGCGACCAAGGGATAAAGATGTAATATGGTGCGCGAGCAACGCAATATCACACGGCAACAAAAAAGAGTTGGAGAATGAGTAATGCATTCAATTCGCCGCATATTGAAAAGCGATATCTGGTGTGTAAGGTTAAACAGGACAAGAGCATTTAGGTTATATTCACCAACCTCGGTTTTAGAGCTTAGCCGACCTTAGTCGCTGTTGATCCACAAAAAGACTCAGTCTACTTCGTGGTTCATTCGGTTATAAGTGGAGTTGACTAACTAGTCACGGTTGGATCACAACACGCAGTTTGGATTATGAGCCGCAATTTTTGTGGACGGTTGTGGGTTACTTAAAAAGTAAGCCTCAATTGCTGAGCAGCATCTGAACAGCACAAGAGGTTGGCTGGGAAGTAGGTGTAGAGATAGGCAGAAAAAAGCGCATCAACAGTGCACCGGTACCCAGTACGGATGCTTCGCTGCCGCGCAAACATCACCATGTGGGCTAAGGATACTGCGAGGGTCGTCCGGTCCCCTATGCAATCTCGAACCGGTGTCTTCAGATTACAAGACAAGCTTGTAGCCTGTTGGCTTCTTGCCGGCCAGGGTTGGAAATTGGATCCGGTCTTTAAGCTAAGCGAACAATGTTTAACACGGTGGTTACGAATTGCTGTAACAGCTGGAAAGGAAGGAGGAAACCGTTCGTGTTTGAAGCGAGTAGTGCCAAAACATTAGCCCAATATCATCGTTAAGCCAGAGTGTGACAGTCGCATTTGCCTTGTAGAGTAACAAAGCCATAAAGATAGCAACTAAGGGGAAATGACAAAAGGACAAATACATCATTAATCAAAAAAGTGGTGTGAGAAAGTGGGACGGACATAAGAGGTAAGAACAACCGAAGATCGCTTTGCAACCGCTTTGTGTCCGAAGACTCGTGACCACTGAAGTGGGTAGGTATGTTGGGGAGGGGTTATTGGGAGGAAGAGTTATCGGCTACATACAAGACGCACGGCTATGCCGAGTCCGAAATTGCCCCACTGGTAGCTGTTTAAGCTAAGCTTTAATCAGCATCCAGATGGTCACGCAAATTACAGCACTGCAGAACCAAGACTGCGGAGAGCGGTAGAAAGAATCCGTGACGTACTAACAGAAACGGGACTGGTGAAGGATAAACAGAGCAAATAGACAAGTGCAGGTCCACACACATGTGGGCTTTGAGTCTTTAACGTCGAACATCTGGTTGTTCGAGGATACCCGAGGTGCAATACGCGATGGGTTTATTATCGATAGCGTCGAGTGCCTGCTATAATTCTTGTTGACCTGGGCAGGCGGATTCACTTTTCTTTACGCCCATGTTCAGACCTCTCTTCCCCAAGCTGGCTGGCGCGAACCCCAAGTTCTCCAGAAGTGTCCTGGCGGACCTACGGATAGTCAATCAAAAAGATGACGTGCATCAATCTGGTTCAACCATTTGACCAGGTTTCTCATATTAAACTGTCATGTCATCGATTAGCTACCATGAGGCTTGTCCAAGCGGACGTGGAACTGGAAAACTACCCATGTGATAATGAGTGAATGGCAGGGACTATCGTCTATTCTAGAATATAGTGGTCTTCAGAAAGTATACATCAGACTACATACTTGAACTGTACCTTGCATCGCCGATCCTTTAATAAGAGACTTAAGGGGGTACATGAGTTGGGGTGTGTTGAATTGAAATGCGAGCTGTCGTCATTATTATGATGCACGTTAGCTAGAGGTGGAAAACACCTCAGCTGACAGCAACTCGGTTACTCCCGGAGAATACGGATTCCATCAGAGGGGTGGTAAGTCTCAAATTCGGCAAACTTCAAGCCGACTAACACTGTTAGTTGAGTAGCTCTCAAAAGGATTCTGGACCGCCGAATCCACAAACAGAGAACCACTCGAAGCTTCATAATAGTAAATAAAATGCCTTCGCAGAGGCATGCAGATATCACACAGATCTCAGAGATAAATCGCTTGGTGCTACCGCACAGTTCGTCGCATGGAAGGGTGTGATAGTACAGTACATAGTGGGTGAGTAGAGCGTTGCAACGTTAACCATCCCATCAGTAAGAATGTCTATTCGGTTGGTCCTATGGTCTAAGGTATGGTGATATAGTTAGGCATAAAATTTTACCAAGGGTAAAAATTGGCTCCAAGTTGCCCGAGCCCAATTGAATCCTAGGCCAGAATGTGGCCAATGGGCGCACGTTCTGGTGGACAATCAACTGCCACGATGCACTTCCCACAGTTCGATTCAGTTTGGTAGCTTGGATCCGTCCATCGGAGTGCGGTAGATCCAGTCACAGTGAGATATGTCATCAAAATGATAGTAATGAAGATTTAAGGTGAATGACTAAGAAATAAAATCGTTAGACACAATAGTCAAAGGCCCGAAATGGATGAATGAAGGATGGCTAAATGTGATACGGTATACAATCATCGGTGCGGCTGGCCACAAGGACCGTATTCGCGAAGACAAATAGAACTCGCCAGACTCAGCCACCTGGCTAGTTCCTTCACGCTTCGCTGTCATATAATCGATTGAGGATCTGGAGGTTTCACCAAATTAGACGCAGTGTTGAAAAACAACTACAAGCCAAGGCAACAAGGTTAAGCTCTCAGCAGACCTGCAGGTTGTTGCGCACACCATATGCAATGAGGTAGTTGTGGCGCTCAGTTGAGCCGAGTTGTAAGATGGTGGGCTCCCATTCCCAAGTTAACATTGGCTGATAGCCGCTTGGACGAACAAAAGCCACACATCAGAGTATAATGAGAATGGAAGAATCAACAAGTGGTAATCGAACAATGAGGTGAGGAGAAATTAATGAATTCCTAAACATCGCTAATGGGCAGAAGTTAGCACTCGCTGAATGGCACAAGGCGTGAAAGCAAAGCAGAAAAGGAAGCAAAATTTGGTAGCTCAGATTATTCTGGCAGCGGTTGAACTGTTCGCAAGGCATGGCAATGTGGTTGCAACAAAACGATGAGCTCATAACACAGATGGCCGGAAAGTGTTTCCAAACCTGAGGCGAATCGTGTGGAACTCTGGTCACCGTAAGTAAGAAAACAGTTGTGCAGAAAACGTATCTCAGAAGCAACAGATGAAAGGAGTCAGTTGTTAAGGTGTACAGCCAAGAGAAATCCAAGATGATTCCTCGAAATGTCGTCATTTGGAAAACAAAGGCGGCCAGATAAGTAACACACAAAAAAGGGGCGAGGTAAACAAAACAAACAGTCAAAGAACGGCTTGCCTTAATCATCAAATCCACGTAATGCGTGGCCGGGAGAATCTTAAGAAACGGGTACACAGTGACTTTATCACCTGAAATCAAAGAGCAAGAGATAGGAATAAGCAACGAGAAAAGCGAGCTTTAAATTGATTCTTGATAGCGTTGAATTTTAAGCGTTGTGGGACAAAGGAGTACAAGAACGGAAGTGACGCTGTGGGCCTTACGATGCAAACGCCTTCAAGAATAGTAGCATAACAAATAGTCAGTGGCGAATAAAGCTAAGATCGTTTAATACGTTGCAACTAAAACGGTGCATATATAGCATCATTATACACGTTAGCTAGAGATGGGAACCACCACAACTACTGTTCCGCAATATGTAGAAGAAAAAAATATGCAATTGATGCATGCCAGCTGAGCTACCGGTAACGGATGGGTATAGATCCGGAAAGCTACCAGCCGGCAAACACCCAGCAAAAATTACTTACTGGTGGATGGATTTTGGTATTTTTGTTCGTCGCAATCAGCCGACAATTCAGATATGTCGACCAGCTATCCGCAAAAGCACCAGACGGCCGTTTCGCCCTATGGAGGCTCATCAGTGGTGCGGGCTAGTTGGCAAGAGCCACTAGCAGTCATGGGTTCGATCCTCCACAGAGGACCGAAGGATGCGCAACACTGATGAGCCCCAATAGGGCGAAACGGCTGTCTGGTGCATTGCCGGATGGCTGGTCGACATATCTGAAATGTCGGCTGATTGCGACGAACAAAAATACCCGGCAAAAAGATTGAATATGAAAAATTATATAAGGATAAGTAGTAGGATCGTGGTTGGAGGGGGAGACTAAGAAGGATGGGTTGGGACAAAGAAAATCACAGCACGGACGCCAATGAGTTCGGCTCCTAGCCATTTCAACAAGTGTATCCAGCCAAACGTCCTCATCGTCTTTCGGACCCCAACCAGGGAGCCGAGACGCCCCAACCGAGGCCAGCTTCGAAGTGAGAGTCTTTATTCCTCTCGACCAAGTGAGAGCTTGACAACCTTTCCTGTTCCTTCATCCACACCCCCGGGGGAGCAAACAACGCACGTCGCGGGAACAGGTAGGCTGGCATGCGTAACACGTGGCCGAGCCATCGGGGCCTGGTGCGGGAAATAACGGTGCTGAGTGGTTTATCTCATTTTCCTGTGCCGTAAACAAGGTCTCGAACACGTTCGTTGCTCATGCGATTTTCCCACCAGATGTGAGCCAAACTGCGAAGGCACCGGTGGTCAAACGCAATTAGGCTCTTTATGTCGGATGATCTAAGGGGCCAGCTTTCACAATCGAAAGTAGGCTCGAAGGTACCGAGGTATTGTATACTCTACCCTTTAGGGTGAGACTGATGTCGCGCCGGCGCCCTGAGTGACGAAAATTAGCAAAAGCGCCTCGAGCATTAGCTATACGGCTAGTGATCACGCCTTCAATGCCACGGGCGCAAATACAAGTTCCCGGATAGTTGAATTTTCCAAAGACTTCAAGATGATCCCCACCAAGGTTCAGCTCAGGAGGCGGTCTCTGCCAATCTTGGAGGAACGCTTTGCACTTCAAACGTGGAAAGGAGGGCACACATCAATTGACAGTCAGTGCTAATCTGTGCAATGCAGCTGAGCACGTTTGCGAGCTGTCACAGATGAGGACAATGTCGTCTACATACTCCAAGTCAAGAAGTCGTTCACCTGGGAGCAGATCCACACCTTCTAAGTCGTGTCCTGTTAACGCGATTGCCATGAGTTCAACGATAGCGCACTTGAAGAGGAAAGGTAACAGTGGGCATGGTTGTCTCACACAGCTGGAGATATTAAAGGAAGATGACAGCTTGCCGTAAGCCCTCACTCTGTCCCAGTTACACGTGTGCAACAACTCGGATAATATTCACATATTTTTCTCAGCTAAACCTTTCCTGAATAGACAGTACCAAAGGACACATCGATCTGCCGAATCGAATGCACCTTTGACGTCGAGGAACAAGACAACGGTGGGCCGCCAATAAACATGGCGGTGCTCCAACAATTGACGCAAGATGAAGATGTGGTCAATGCAGCCACGACTTCGACAAAACCCGGCTTGCTCTTCACGAATCTGGCATTCACAAAAGGCAGCCAGTCTGTGAAGGAAGACAGAGGCAAGCAACTTGGAGGAGATGGAGATCAGACTGATTCCTCTCTGGTTGCCGCATTCTGATCGTGAGCCTCCCTTGAAAATTATTACCATGACGGAGCGGCTCCAGTCGGTTGGGACAGTTTCCTGCTCCCACAGTTTCATTAGTAACTCGTGTAAATCATCCACAAGAGCAGGTCCCACGAATTTGAAGAGGGCTGGGGACAGATCATCATGTCAAGCGGTTTTATTTAGCTTCAGCAGTTGAGTCTCACGTTTGACTTCCGAGCGAGCGGACGGATACAAAGAGACAGCCCACGGAGCACGGCAATCAATGGTCGGTGAGGAATCGAACAATTCCGAGCGATTAAATCGCTTTTCAAAATGCTCAGCCAAACGCTCTAAACGTTTCGACAAATTGCGAATAAGCTGTCCACTCTCGTCAAGTAAACATTCACTAACACCAGGTCTCCTGCTGCCTATTTCCCGTATCAGACGAAACAACTTACGATGGTTACCAAGGGTAGTGGCCATTTCCATCCCTGACGCACGAAGAGACCACCAGGATTCGCCGTCTCTCTTCAGGCTAGCACGGAGTTTTGCCCGGAGCTCTTTGCGAGTCTCACTGTGTTCGGTTCCAGCCGAAACATGCCGGCGAGCATCGATAAGTTCCAAAGACTCCGAAGAGACCCAATGTCCATGTTGGCTATTAGACATACCACACAAGGATTTGCCTGCTGCTAGTAGGGTCTGGTGAACATGCGACCAGTATCCTTCAACTGTCGCCAGTGAATGCTTACTCAACCCGCATGTCAGCATAATTCGATACGCAGTCAGAATAGTTGGCTTCGCCAGTTGGCTGGTGTCAATGCGTTAATAGAGCTGTCGTCGGCGTCCGCCCACACGCATCCGCAGGTCAGCAAATACAAGTGCATGATCGGTGTCCACACATGTGCTCCAAATCGAGCGACAGTTCTAGACGCAGCCTCTCCATCGGTAACTGATCACAATGTGATCGATTTGCACCCATAGCTGGTTCGAGTCTGGTGGGCGCCAAGTCACCGTGAGGCGGGTGCTGTGTCGGAAATTAGTGCTCGCAAGAAATAAGCAAACATCTTCACACAATTGAAGTAACCGCTCACGTTGTCACTACAGGAGCCTATATCCTGTTTGCTGCCCAGATGCAGTTCATCAGTTGAAAATTTTCCAAATTAAGCGTTCAGATCCCCAGTCGGCCCTACAGTGTCTAAGCTTTTGTGGTGAGCGACCTCGTTCGGTTGGCGATAGAAGTCGTCTTTTACCGGGTCATCGCTAGAATTTGTGGGTGCATAGGCAGCGATGATGAATAGACACCTGGAGTCCCGCGCCACTTCGAAGCTTTGAACGAGCCAGCTAATCGGACCGCACACATCCGGCTACTGATTGGTATCCAATCAACCAGATAGCTTCAGCCCGGGGACTCAGGGCGATACGAAAATCAGTTTGGCCGGTACTCGAAGCTGCATCGTCACCGGATGAGCGCAATGGAAAAGTGCTGCTGGTGTCGCCTGACGGGGAAGCCCAAAGTGAGTACGAAGCTCGAGTCCTGCAGGCAGGCATCCGACAAGCAGTAGATATCGATCGAGAGGGTCTCTAATGTTCGGGCAAGTGCTGCCTGTTGACCGATCTGTAGCAACATGCTTACCTTGAAGCATGCCAAACTGAAGGATGATCGTGGTCTCCAAATGGAAGCCGATGAACAGGGCTTGGCCGCTTGCTTGGAGATGGGCTTCTCGACAGCGTGGGAATGACGCTCATGTTAGCATGTGATTTGAAACTAGAAGGTAAAAGTCTATCAAAGCAAGGTGAGGGAGAAACGAGAACTGGGGGTTGAAAATAGAGGGGATAAAAGTGAAGCTGGAACGGGACCATAAGGGTGAAAAAGGGGAAAACGGGGAATTAGAAAACGGTAAGGTTTGAGCAGTAGCATCTAAACCCCTAACCACCCTGGTCAAATCAGCAGATAGGGCACCATTGATTATCCTCTGTGGTGGTCAGGGCATCAGAAAATTGTTTGAGGATAGATCCATTGTATCCCGTGGGCAGAATAGTGTCAAGTTGCAAGGCCTAGACAGGAGAACGATTAGGGTTCTCAACCAAAGCCTTTGGTTCAAAAACCGAGCCGCAAGGCAGCGGGTTTGTCGGTGGGCTACAAGGAGCCCATTTTAAGGAATAAGGAACCACCCTCATTCTAACCCTCAACCTGAAAGACCAGAAGGCTGAGTTTGTCTGGCCGCTAAACATTGACTAATCTGGGATTAGTGGCTCAGGTGCAAAAAAGCACCATCCAGCCTAGCTCAATGGATCGCTGAGGCACGTAAACCATCGCACCACGGTAAGGTCTAGCATAATGGCGAGGGTATATATATATATATATATATATATATATATATATATATATGCGACAGTCTACGAATTGACATGGATGCACCAAAAATCGTGGAAGTGCAGATTACGATTACCGAAAACAGAATGCCTAAGGTAAGCAACAACCCATGGCCTTGTCACAGGGCATGGCACAACCCGGTTGCCCAAACGAAAGTGGGGTGGGGGTTGACTTAGAGAATACAGCCCCGGGCCTTTGCCAAAATAACCTGACTGCAAGATGGCAGAACGAACGCGAGAAATCGGGGCCATTGGCAGCCGGTAACCGATTGTGCAATTCCTAAGACTTTGATTTGGTGAGTTGCCAAACGGGAGCACAATACACCCCGCTTCCATCCTCGTCAGTCGATGGCAATAGGGATCAAAGCCTTACCTTGTAATCTGAAGTCGCAGGAACCGCGTGACTATCGCAGCATCATAGTCCACGCGCGACTGGTCGTGGTTGTGCGGCAGAGTACTGTCAGCACTGCATACCGGAGCACTGCTGACTCGCTTTTTTCCTGGACTACAATGCTTCACCGAGGTGAAGCAAGGGGCGGTGACCTTAAGTATAGGCGAGTCATATACGCTACGTCGCAGTATTGTTAAACGGACATTTGTAGCATTGTAGAAGGTAAATGCCTGCCACGCGTAAAACCACCACGTCCGGAAATACTGCCGCCATACAATTTGTTGGAACGGCATAAACCCGAGCCACACAACTGGCCGCACGAGGACTTGGTTGGGGCAACCCAGCAAGTATAAGGTGACAGGAAACTAGGACATAAGTGAGTGCCTGTGAAATAAATAAATAATTTATCCTCGGCAATGTGAAGCACGTCTGCGTGAGCATGAGTTGCACATTCACAAATTAGCAATTTTTCATCCCCATTTGTCTACTCTTCATTACGTGGGCATTTTCGCATTTCATATTCCAAATTTGCTGTTCATGTGAACAAAAGCACCCATACTGTAAAACATGCAAGTGACCTTTGTTTATCCGGACCGTGTGGCTACTCGTAACACTGCCTTGACAAAGCGTCACTAGTTACTTCACTGTCGATGTCCGGTCCGCTGCTGCTGTCCAGGAGTACAAACCACTAGAAGTGTTTTGGCTCACAGTTGGGCAACATTCAGGCTACGTCTACAATCCTAGCTCAGCATGTCCCGCGATTTCCGCTACATCGAGGTTTGCGCGTCTTGTCTTAGGAATCAAGTCTTGCATAAATCCATGGAGAATGGGTACAAGGCGGTATTTACAATAAACACTGGATGATGATAACCAACAGATCACGTGGCATACGACCCAAATGTAAAAAGAGAAGGTGAGATGAATCCAGCGCACACATATACACATGAAAAAGTCGAGACAATGTAGCAAACCAGAATATTCAGTGGAAAACAACGAAACCAGACAAGAGAAGCATACTCACGTGAATGACTTTGCTTGGAACGTTCCAACAAATCCTTGAATCCCGCTAAGAGAGTCACACGCCAGAGATTTTGTTCGTCCATTAGACCTTGACGCTAGAGGAATAACAGGGGAATGGTAAATTGCGCTTTTCAAATACGCGGAGCACTCGCAATGAAAGGACAAGGTTTTAGTAATCCGACTGTGGTCTAAACATCAAAGCGATATAGACTCAGCTGACGTAACCAATATCGTCATGGTGAAAATAACGACAAGGAAGAAATATAGGAAATAAAAATGAGGAAAGAGCTCATATGTTGTATGCAATAGATCCACCGATGTCTCGAGTCCGTGGCGCCGAAAACTATATTTAACCAAAGATGTGGGCAACCCCATGCCCATCCACGTATCAACCCAACCTAGTCCCCTCAGCCCGATACTTCAAGTCTTTTTATCAGGTCGTCAGTACGCTACCCTGTGGGTTTCATTCGATCGGAGGCGAAAACAGGAAACGACATATGCCGAGACAAACCATCGTCAGATGTGACGAGAATGTTGTTTTGCCAAAATGGCGATCTAAATTCGTTAAGTGATACGGTGAGGTCCTACCGAATCGGTATCGCATACTATGCGATCGCGGTGGAGAAAAGCAATAATTCGCAAGCACCGATGATTGGGAACATACATACGCTATCTGTGTGCGAATTAAAGTCGATGGCTGCTCGCTTTACCATCTGTCCATGAAGGTCCAGTGGCCGAAAGGACTACATATGCCTGCCTTGTAATCCGGAGGTCACCGCTTCGAATCCACATAGGTGCGGACGACCTAGCGATTTGCTCAGCCCAAGCGCAACCGCTGGTGGTCAAGTGGCAGCGAACCGTCTGTACGGTGTACCGGCGTACTGCTGATGCCTTTGTTCCTTTACACAAAGGTTCGTCCACTACTGGAAGAGTAAAATCCACTTGATGTGGGCCGCGATCCGTAGACCAAAAAAGAGTGCAGGTGATTCAAACCACATGCTCGTATGCACAGCTTCCCGGAGCTCACAATAATCCGCGAAAGAGAAGGAGCATTTTCATGAACAGCGGTCGATGTGATAGATTACAAGCTGAGATACAGTTGCGATGTGGATCCAATGAATTCGTAGGGCGGAGGCACTGCATGAAATTTGAAAACGGGTGTTGTTCTACGGTTGCAAGTGAGCAAAACACCGATGTGCGTCCAGACCACTAGTAGGAGTGGGAGTATAACCAACGGTCTAATAACTAGACATAGAACCAAACTAAAGTGTGAAATTCAGTGGATGACAAGTGATCGTTGCAGTATTACCATTTTTGCACATCAGTTTAAGCAATACGCTATAACTGTTAGGCCACGCCATTTTTTAATTTTTTTAATGGTTAGGCGTTAAGTATGTACACAGATCTCCCACTGGTTTCGGTAACGCGCCATTTGCTGAATTGTTTCGAGCCATCGGCACTCTTCGTCCTTAGGTCCCCAACCAGGCAGGCGTGCGGTTCCAAGGGCGGCAAAAAAATGGATTGTCAGCCATTTTATATGCAAGCACCAGGTGGATGGCTGACCCCCGTTTGGTTTCGTCCAGTGATATCCTGCACGAAGGAAAAGGGTGCAATAGGGCAAACGCTAAACTGACATACGAAGAAAGTGACCGAGCCATCTTAACTGACGCAGCAAAACCTGCTTGTTGAAAAGAATACGCGCATTCGCTAAGATACGACATCTGACTTCACCGTTGTGGATAGGTTGTTGCCATTACACATGAGTAATCCTCCTATTAGCGAAGGCCGAGGGCAGGCGCATGTCATCCACGCAAAATGGCCATGACGCACTGTCATATAGCAACACCGCCCGAACGGTGGCGTTGTAAACACGATCCGTTATCGACAGAGATGGCATCCCGACGACGCCACAAGTGTTGCAGGTTGACAAACGCAAACCGGACTTTGGTGATTCGGAGAGACATTTCCTTGCTGACAAGGCCATCAGCAGACAGGCAGCTGTCAAGGTGTTCAAACTGTGTGCCTTCAAAAGTGAGCACGGGAACGGGAGTGTCAATCCTGGAGCAGCACTTTGCATTCCGAGGAGGCGAAGCAGATTCCGTACTTAGATGCCTCAATCGCCGAACGGCTGAAAATGGTTCGCAAACGCTGCGAGTCGTCACCACGTAATGCGATGTCATCGGCTTAATGTAAGTCAGTTGCTCGCTTACTCGGTAGCAATTGCAGACCAAAATGTTGGTAACCTTCCAGCGCTCTCGACAGGGCGCCCTCACAGGCAAAAATGAAGAGGAACGAGTACATAGGGCAGCGCTGTCTTACACTGCTATTGATAGCGAAGGGCGTAAAAAGCTGGTCATCGAACCTCACTCTGCCGGAGACGTGGAAGTAAAGTGCGCATAGGATGGTAGTGTACTTTACTGAGACGGCATTCTTTAGCAAACAACGTCATAGTGCAGGTCGATCAACCGAGTCGAATGCAGCATGGATGGTCCAGGAATGCAACGATGTTAGGCCACTGGTAGAGGTGATGATGTTCGAGGATTTGGGGGAGCGTGAACATTTTATCCACACATCCAAGGCCAGGTCGAAAGCCAGCTTGTTCGTCCCGTATTGTGATTCACGAATCGGGGATAGCCTACGAAGTCGAATGCATCTCAATAGCATGGAGGCAACCGAAATGAGACTGATTCCCCGGTGATTGGAGCATAAGGTGCGAGAACCCTTCTTAAAAATTGAGACAACAACTGACTCGCCTCCGGGAAGAATGTACCTTTTCTTCATGCCAGATTTTGGAGAAGCATAAGGTTAGTTGACTGGTGAAAATTGCACCACCATATCTGAACAGTTCCGGAGGAAGTCCGTCTGAGTCGGCAGCCTTGAATCGCTTCAAACGTCGATTCGCAAGACAAACTTCTGCTTCACTGGATGGATCAAATGTAACTACCCAGAGTGGGCAGATGGGTTCGCAGAAAATGCAAGTGGGCCATGAGGACCAACTGAACTGGGAATGAAAATGTTCAGCCCCTCGATTCAAGCGTCGCTGTAAGTTAGTAATCGGTGAACTGTCAGTTTCGCAAATAGTCTCACTGACTCCAGCCCTTTTTGTGACCAGTGAATCGAACGAGCTGGAAGAGCTTGCGAGTATTGCCAGATAAGGCAGTGGCCTTTATTTCCGATGCACGCTGAGACCACCAGGTTAGCGGTCCCTACGCAGGTTTTGTATGAGCTGCCGACTTACAGAACGGCGCACTTCGTTATGATTAGACCGCTGGGATATTTCTGCGGTGATCAAATAGATCCAGGGAGTGCGTGGAGATCCAGGCCTTCATAGGGTGCTGAACAAAAGCACAGACTAACTGTTCTGAAGCAATCACGGTCTTTTGTATTAACGTCCAGTATTTATCAATGTCTTGTGGTGGGTGGCGGCTGAGTACATCGGTCAGGGAAGCTTGATAGCTTTGCTGAACCGAGGGAGTAGATAGTTTATTTGTATATACCTTGCAGTGCTTCTTTTCAGGGGACCTTCCGAAACTCATGCGGATGTTCGCACCAACAAGAGCATGGTCTGGGTCGCGAAACGTGGACTAGATGGATCTGCAATCCTATACGCTACCATGCCATCTGAAACTAATTGTGATATGGTCAATCTGAAACCATGATTGAGTGAGAGCGAGTGGGCGCCAAGTAGCAGAACGTCTCCTCGAATGTCTGAAGCTGGTGCTCGAGTGAAACAGACGATTTTCTTCGCACAGTGTGAGGAGTCTTTCTCCACTAACTAAGCGGCTCTCATCAAGCGCATGGTGACCACCGAAGTGACTTTCATATGATAATAGGCGACCAACCCGTTTGTTGAGATCCCCAGCACGGACAACAATATCGGATTTGCAGGCTCTGCGCAAGATTTGGTGATGTTCACGATAGAAACTGTCCTTTACTGATGCACAACTGCAATCAGTTGGAGTGCAAGCTAAGATCACGAACAAGTTGCGTCTCTCGTCACGATGTCTGTTGATCCTGCATGATTCACGAAGCCGAACTGCACACAGTCAGCTATTAATCAAAAACCATCCCAGCAGTGCGGCCTCGGCTTTGCTGGTTAGCGCTACACCAACGCCAGCCAAACCAGATGCAGCTGCTTCTGTTTGACCAGATAGACGTAGGTGAAATTTGGCGCCATGGTAGGTGGGAGATGTTAGGAGAGGCACCTCCTAATCAACGGATCAGTGAACCAAAGGATGATTAAAGTTCAACCATTTTCCAGAACTCGAGCAAGATAATCGCATTTGTTAATCAATAGAATGTTCTCGCAAAAAGGAATACTATTGTTGGTAAGTAAAGAAGAGAACAGAACAGAGAAATTTCAGAAAGGTCGCTATGAACAAATAGATATCGGTACTCTGCGCTCTGTAATCATCCCGTGTCTGGCGGTCATTACACTGTGTCTACGACCTTGCCTTTTTGATTGGCCAATTGGGGGCAAGCAGGTTTTCATTGAACAGCTAATCGGAACGACCGGGACGACCTTGATGACCATAATAACTGGCGACGAAGGTGGGAGGTTCAGTAGGAAATTTATGTAGGATTTTGGATTGTAGTTAGGCTGGGATGACGACAAGTTCACCAAACAAGATACAGTCTTGGACGACTGTTTCGAGGCCATTGTGAGTGGCAAAACGTGCTCACCTGTGACAGCAACGGTTCGCGTAAGGTGGTGTCTCGAATCTGACTGAAAGATATTGGGAGCTGACTCACAGTATTCGAGAGCACACGGTTAACTTCCTTTCGATTGAGACATTCGCAAAGACAGTGTTTTCTGGTTAGTGCTGTTCGTCCAACAACGGTGACAGCTCATCGATCGGTATTTGATGTTGAAATCGTACCCCAACAATGTTGTCGCGCATTTCTGCAGACGATTGGCCGTATATACAGGAATTCCTTTCTTCCAGCTGAATATAGCAAGAAGCGGTTGGTGGTCCGTTAGCAAGGGAAAGTGACAGTCATATAACATTTTTTGAAGATGCAAACACAATAGCGAAAGCCCCCACCTTTCAATTTGGCTATACTTTCGTTCTGCTGTTGTCAGTGAACGAGCGGCATGAGCGACTGGCTTCCCAGACCCGTATGGGACAATGTGGGAGATGACCGCTCCAATTCCGTAGCTGGATACGTAAGATGTCACTACAATTAGCAGCTTTGGAGCGTAATGTCTCAGCAGCAGTTCCAAGTTTGGTGACGACTGGATCCTGTCGAAGGTTTGATGACATTCGGTAGTCCAGACCCACGGAATGTCCTTCATCAGCAACCTGTTTAATGGTCCGCGTAGGTCGTGCATGGCCGTCAGGTAGGTACTGTAATAACACCATACCCAGGAATGATCTCGATGTCACTACGTCTTTGGGCGGGGCATTTCCTTGATCGCCTTGAGGTTTGATGGAGCAGGTCTTCGTCCATTTTGGTCAATGATAAAACCAAGGTATTTAATGGAGGTCATAAAAAACTCCTACTTGTCCATTCGCAAGTGAAATCCATACTCCTTTATCCTTTCAATCACGAATTCTGTTCGTTGGTGTAGTCCTTCCCGGAAATGAACTGACTAATGGTTGGTTCGGCGGAGTTGTACGCTATCGGACGCGTCCCAAGGTTGTGGAACGGGGAACGCCATCCTTGTGAAGGTAAGTGTGAATATATATATATATATATATATATATATATATATATATATATATATATATATATATATATATATATATATATATATATATATATATATATATATATATATATATATATATATATATATATATATGATCATCAGTGCCCCATGCTGAGGCTGATGTTGCATTCTTGATGCGTCTTCACTGCGGTTGGGCTAAACCAACTTACACTTAAACTAGGTATTTTTAAGCTGGATGAATTTCATTCCAACTTTATTTGGTTTGTTCTGCCTACCTGAATAAACCTCTATTAACTGGCCACGTTGCTTACGCTGATTGCGCTTAGCTTCGGTAACTTGGTTGCATTTGTAGCATTTTTGAGTAAGTTGTGGACATTTTTTACTTATCGCGGATTCGTTACTACCCAGCTTACTTCATATGGTAATTTAACAAAGAGTTATGCCACCGTATCTGTATGCATTATTGGATTTACTTTATTTGATATCGTCGTTTCAATTGATTGGCTGCTGCTTGATATCCCCAGTGTGGCTGCGGTTGATGTGCATGTTGACAAGGTGCCTACCTGTCTATTACCCACTACCTCGTTCATACTGGCTCCAGGAGACAGTTGGTCGTTGCTAGAGGGGACGGGGTGCACGGTCCTTGTGGCCGTGCTAGGCTCGAAGAGTGGTTCCATGCACCCCGTGTGGAGCGGACTACGATCCAGCCACCGCCTTGCGTGCATTTGATTTCCCAAATACAGCGTGCATGTGTTTGCCTGTGAAGGAGTGTGAGCCGGCTCCGTTGATGAAACCTGGCTCCCATCCACATGCCTCCCGGTCTTATTCCTTCGGGTTTACACTGGATATGGGGTATGTGGTTGGAGCTGTGGGTGGTGAAGCACAAGCCACCCATGGTCCCTCTGTAGGCGTAGGCGTCCTGTGGCTGGCGACAGTGACAGGCAAATCCGAAACCGGATGCCGCCAACCATATATATAATCAGCAGTCTATAAGATAGACACAGAGCCAGCGAAAACCATGAAACAGAAGTAAGAAATACAGGGACCACAACGAAAAGAAGAAAAGTTGCAAAAAAAGGTTTTTTGTATCTTGTATTTACATTTTTTGTATTTTTCACGCGCTGTTTTATCTTCTTTGTCTGTTTAATGTTTGCGATATAAATCAAGCAAATCAAGACAAACATTTGTATACATTTTCCATTGAGCCCGGTTCTGAACATTTCCGGAAGTGTTTCCAGCCAGCGGTGTTCTTCATCTTTGGTACCTCAGCCCGGAATACGCACGGGAGCTACGACAGCCAAACCGGAAGTCGGCGCTTGGATCGTTTGTCGCCACGTGATAGGCTGACCCCCGCGCGATTTCTTCAAGCCTGGTACTATGCGAGCGAAGAGAACACGTCGGGGCAGCCGTTCGCATGGCATGCGTAAAACGTGACCCAGCCACCTCAGTTGGCGCAGTGGTACCAGTCTGTCAAGGGGAAGTCCCGTGTTACCCAAGACGCGAGGTTTAACATCATCGTTGCGTACGTGGTACATCCACCACACTCGAGCTATTCTCCGCAGACATCCATTGTCAAGGGCCAAAATCCGAATAAGTCTCCGCTGTTCGCAAGCGAGATGAATAAGTAGTCGTGGACAATCAGCGGCAGGGTCCTAAGCGTGGGAGGAGGTTCTGGACTGGTCATCTGGTTCCTCATTAAACACCCCAAAAGCTCGCAAGACGCTGTGTCAAAGTCAATGTGGCCGGCTATAGGGTCAATAACCACTCACTTCTGGTCACAGAAGTGGGTGTTAATCTTTAGCAACTCAGGCGATTCCTCCGACATTGCAATCTGGAGATATGCGTCTAACAAGTCCAGTTTGGCAAAACCCTTGGTGACCATAACAAATCTCAAGTCAATCACGGTACCGAGATCTTGCAATCGGGTCTCGGAAAGATAGCAAACATCGATGGTGAGGGATTCCAAGGTGCGCGCGAGACCAGCCTGATGTCCGGTCTGCATAAGCGTACGTACATTGAAGCATGAAAGACGGAACGATGACCAAGTCTGAAAGAGCGCCACTGCGCAAGCTCTGTGGGCGTCGACGAAACCATTGGGAGTAGAACCATGGGAAAAGGAATCGGCTGGCAACGGATAAAAAGGATGGGTACCAAATGAACGGGTGGCGTGTGAAGGTAGTTAAGCGCGTTATAGCGGAACAGTTCAGACTACTAAACAATAAGAGATGCCAATTCCCTTTGAAAGGAGCATCAGTCGATTATCTGTGTTGTCAGTGGAAACACAACAGTTGTCCAACAATGACTCATCTTCCTAGAAACTTAGACACGTTGGTATGAGCCGTCATCATGGATGAAAGTTTCGGGATTGGCCACATCAGTCAGTAGAGACCATATCGCGCGCGGTGAAGTGGTGTACTTAGTGGCTCCCTGTATTCCGTTTTTGGCATCCACTCCGATTAACTCCTTCCTAGTCTGTCTTTCTCTGTACTGCATATGCGTTGTACCTCCTATTCCTCGTCACTGTTCACAAATTATCCTGGAGACGCGAATCGTGATAACTGCAGCGGCCGCATTGCCTGATGGAACCCCAGTCGCTACCGAGTTTCAACCGATGGAATTTCCAGCGTCCACAAAGAATGTGGCCGGTAGTCTATTCCACAGGACGGTATATCTGATGGGGAAGGAATTAGAGCGAGTAGTCGCTCTGGTCTTCGGCAAGATGAGTCCACTTTTTGTTAAGTCTCCGAGCGCAATTATATTGCAGCACAATTATAGACAAATCAGAGCAAACCTGGTGTATCAGACGGTGCAGGTGAATCAAGGGGGTTCGAGGCAATGACCTAGTAGAAAACACGCAGACGGTTAAAGAACAGAGTCGGATTGATACGCATCAACTTGGTGGGTGAGGACAGCAACGTCGCCAACAAGTCCCAAGGAAGATGACGGAATTGCAAAAGCACTTGTTACATTTGTTTTGTAGCTCCAGACAGCTAGCCCTTCAACTTGACGATTGCAAAGTCTTTGGAACCTCCGAGTGGAATCCCAACCAACGTACTTTTGTAACGGCAAGGTGGCACATAACAACCCGATTTGACACCGTTCGGTGATCTGAAAATAGCGGGAAGACTAAGTCGAACTGGACCGAATTCAGACATGTCCCAGTGAAATGTAAGATTTCGCCCCGGGAGTGTCTTGTTTCGCAACACATTCGGTTGGTGTTGGATAAAATCATTAGTCTAAAATGTGCATGCAGTAGTTTTCAATTTCAGAACCGAGGGGGGTTCTTAGAAAAGACACAGAAGTTGGTAACCGCAGTTCAGTGGATGACACATTGACCGGTTGTAGGAGCAATATCGATTAACCGAGGAACTTTGGCACATAGATCAGGTACGAACACTGGTGTGTAAACGAGTTACCAACGCAAAGGCTGAAAAGAAACAAGCCATAGAGGTAACAAATGATGGAATATATCCATTGAAGAAATATGTCACAAGAATGCCCAAATAAATGAGCACGAGTGTGAAGATTTTGACTGAGCCATGCAAATGTCGACTTGCGATCGTCAATGGCGACATAAGAATGAAAAAGAGAGGAGATATCAGCGGTAAGCCGGAACATCGTACTGACGCTTCGCTGCCGCGTGACTACTACCAGTCGTGTGTGGGCCCGGTATACAGGGATATCACTCACACCTAAGCGGATTCGAACCGATGACCTCCGGAGTACAAGGCAACCGTGTAATCCATTCGACCACCAGCCGAATGAGCCGGAGTCATAATACAATCTGATGGTATCACGACCAGGTGAGGCGAAGATGGAACAAAATACTAATGAAGAACTGCGTTTGAACCGTCGGCTCATTGGTAAGGCACTTACCAGGTGCTTCTTCAGCTTTTCTGACACGCCACTCTTGACTGACTTGCTTTTATTACTCTGTCGGGGTGGGAAAGGGGACAAGACTGGTGGTATCCGGACTTCGCCTTTGCGTTCCAAGGCTAGCTGCTGCTCGAAAGCGGCCAACAGATCACGCTCGTTCGGAACTGCGGTTGCGAAAGGATTGCGCATTTTGTGCTGTGCAAACGGAGACGTCAACGGACCGTGTGAAAGTTAAAAAGAAATAATTAAAATAAACAGCTGACAAATGGTTTTCAATAAAATATTCATAAAAGTGCACTGTTTTAATGTGATTCAAATCACGACCGGGCTCAATAGGCACTTTCATCGAGGCTTTCCTAGGCTACGCTACTTACTACACCCTAAGTAATAACGGACTGATGATGTCACTCCGATTGGTGACGAAACGTTTAGGACAAGATTGCTAAGTCCAGCGAACAGTTCAACTGCTAACCATCACACATACTAAGACAACACACGGGCAATAGATGCAACTTTTCGAGGCTCAACAGCAAGTTATAACCTACTCGATATGGTGAAAGATTGAACCATTCATACCTCCCCGACGGTGGATAATGTGGGGAAGGACAAGCCAGACAGACAACCGGAGACGAAGCTAACAGGCTCAGTCATTACACACACACACACACACCAGGCAGAATCATTTATTTATACGACCCCGCTGACTGACTGGACTTCGGCTGAATCCATGGGAGAACCACATTGCTCCAACAACGTTGTTGTTGAAGGGAGCAGGTGAAGAATATATGTTGAAGCGATTTTCGGGCCAGATATGCTGTCGCTTTTATTGGTTTGCATGTGCCGAATAAACCACTAGGCTCTGTAAAACCGACTCTTGCGACAGGTAGTACTGTGGAGTCACGGGAGAAGCAGCCGCGGGTAATGAGCGTGAAAGTGGAAAGCCATGTGAGGTACACACACAGTCCACAGGAATCTGGGGTCATGATGCGCTAAACTGACTCCTACCACGACTACCTGGGCTTGAGAAAACACCCTGGGCTTTACTGGCATGCGGGGCATCTACATGCTCAGGGTAATACATAAAGAGCAAAATAGATCGAATACAAAAGCTGCGAGGTTTACAGCGTTGTTCACTGCAATCTGCCACTCGGTTTGGTCCTCGGTTTCACGTATTTTAATTAACGATAGTTGCCAGAGCTAGAAATATACGTGGTGGTTGATGGGTGACGCTGTGATCATCAGTCTGTTGAGCTCTGCAAACATAATCTGATACAACATGTGGGATTTCACAGTGGGGTTTTACAGCACATGTCGTGTGTTCGAATTACGACAAGGATGAAAGTGGTCGTAGCGTGTCAGTGATGGGAACGAGTAACAAAGAAACTGCTTTCCACTACGGCCACGCAGAGATCGGAATGACCGAGGCCCACTTCAAAGAGTGAACTGAGATCACAATCGAGATTGCGTGTCGCAAATCAACTATACGGCGGGCACTCCAAAATTCAAATAGGAATTCTTAACCACCGTGCCAAGTGCTCCTCACCCGGATCTCAGTGGGCTGGTGATCGATGCGTCGGCCGTAAACCACACTAAGCCCCGAATTTCACCTGTGGAGTGCAAACAAGGACGAAACTAATCGTTGGGTGTTAGTAATGGGAAGCAGCAACAACAAAATCCCTCCACTTCGTACATTGGTGCACTGATCGGAGTGGTTCTTACTTCAAAGTGAATCGTGGTTCAAAGTATAATTGTGTGGCAGTGGAGGATGGGTTGGGCTATATCGCAGTTAGCTAACAATTCGTGCTGGTCGGCTACCGTCCTCAATGGCGCAGTTGCATAAGCTGCGGGCTAGTTGGCACAAGCCACTAGCAGTCATGGGTTCGATCCTCCGTAGAGGACCGAAGGATGCGCACCACTGGTGAGCCTCAATAGGGCGAAACGGTCGTCTGGTGCTTTTCCGGATAGGTGGTTGACTTATCCGAACTGTCGGCTGATTGCGACGAACAAAAATACTCACCAAAATCCTTCTACTCATAAGTAATATTTCCAACCATTTCAACAAGTATTGATAACGTATCTCAGTGGTATAAAGCGTCAGTCGTCAATCCCGACGTCCTGAGTTCCACTCCACGATTCGGTCATCCAATAGAGAACAAATCCGGTCGTGGGGTGTCCGTTTTAGAAGTGAAATACCTTGAAACTGTTCTCCACCACTTCGGATGAGGTCCGGGTGATCAGAATGACTAGGGTCTATTTCTTCAAAGTAGCTTCGTGTCCCAACTGAGAATGTATGTCTCAGTCCGACTTACGGTAGATACTGCAAGGTTTAATAAAGAATCTTAACTGCCTTTTCACACAATCTGTCCTCTTTCTTCGGACATGAAAGTTACGGAATTAAAGCGAAAGCTGGGAAGTGTGATCGGGTTAATTTCGACACAGTACTAGGAACTGGCTTGAACAACACGAACTTTGCTCTCCAGTTTAGCAAGAGAGCTCAGGAAGTGGTAGATACAGTGAGTTAATCTTTTCAATCCACGATCCGTTCGAAAAACACGAAGGGATATGGGGTTGGAGCAGTTGCGAAGATGGATACTGCTAAATAGGTAAAGAAAGTGCAGACTAGAAGGCATGATGATCAATGGGCAGACTAGTTGGCCGGAAAACAGAATGATGAGCATGCCGCTAAAAGCACAAGTAGACTTGTGCGTACTGGAAAGAGAAATAAGTATTGTTGGAAAAATAATCGATGCTCTTCAGGTAGAAGGTTCGGAACAACCGAGGACAACTGTTACAGTTGACTCATCGCAAGCACATTGCAAGCCAGGTATGCCAACTACCAATCTGGTTTAACACCAGACGGTCGTTTCACCCTATTGGGGTTTGTCATCTGTACGGATTCCCTTCAGGGAACCGAATCCATGACCGCAATTCGCTTGCGCCACTAACCACTAGCTTATGCCTATGATAAAAGGGGGACGAGAGCTGATCATCACGGACTGTGTTATCTGGCTCACAACCTAAATGCGAGGAACTACATATCACCAAATCCCTCTACCCACGAGTAGACAACTGAGTCTGTTCTTTTGCTTGTATGAACAAGTGGGTTTGGAAAAGCTTACCTCCACACTTCGCAACTTTTGTTCCACTGCATAGACGGCCTCGTGGGAATCAAGGGATGAGAACTGTAATCCATTGGAAAAGGAATCTGAAGTCACGGAGTTTTGCGATGATTTCGGCTTTGCGCGCTGTAGTCCGAAAAGTATGTGTTCCATGGTCCCCTTAAGACGAGGCATCAGCATCAGCTCGTCAACCACGTTGAAACCCTTGGTGTGGATGTGGAAGGAGGTAGCAGCATAAACGGCAGGAGTAACAATCCGCATTGTGGATGCAGGTGACAATTGTGTCGATGGCTGAGAGCACACAATGGCACCACACTTACCTGAGATTCGGCCTTCTTCAGCAAAACACGTAACAGTTGAATGATTTTCTTTTTTGCACCCCTTGGATTCATGGAAATCTTGTAGGGGACAAAATTCTTGAAGGAAGTTCCCACGATCAGAGGTAAACTTGAGATGCTCCCTGATTTGAATGCACTCAGATCCGAGAGCAGGCGGCCCAAGCACTCAAAGGCATGGAGGTATATCCGTGGTGTGATCTGCAATCCTTCGTGTTCCATGCGACGGAGCAGCTGGCTTAAATGAAGCCAATCAGCCTGGAGATCAGAAACGCGGAGGGAATGTAGAATAAACTTGATGGAAGACAGAAATGTAGTAAGGTGACAATGGATTTAGCAGTGATAAAACACGATGCACACTTTGCTGCTTTCTCGATGATGCTGTGTTGATCATTACACGCAATCTGACGGCACCAAGCTATGAACAGGTGAAAAACTGAATTCAACCCAATGCACAGGTTGTCTAATTCCCACGGAACTGTCCGAATATGAATAAATAATAATAATGTGTCAGCTGTACGCCGTGACGGCGCTTCGCTGCCGCGCGACCACCACCAGTCGCGCGCGGGCTGTGTATACCGCGAGGACGCCCACCCCTACGCGGATTCGAACCGGTGACCTTATGGTTGCAAAGCAAACGTGCAGACCACTCGGGCACCAGTCGAACGTACCGCCACATTGTACACTCTACCCTTCAGGGCGAGAGTAATGTCGTGCTGCCGCCATAGGTGGCGAAGGTTAGCAAAAGCACTTCGATCTTTTGCTATACGGTTCGTGATCTCGTCTTTGATCCCAAGGGCGCTGATACAACTTCCCAAGTAGTTGAATTTCTGAACGACTTCTAGCCGAGTGGTCTGCACGTTTGGTTTGCAACCAAGCATCTGGACATTGAAATCGCTTACGAGGCACTGCGAACCAGGCCCCTGAAGCCGCACTGATGATGTTGCCTAGTCAGGCAACGAAACGTTTGCACAATAATCCCTCAGCTCGGAGAACCGCTCAAAATCCGCAGCTCTACTCAAGGCCAAGGAGTGAACCACAACCACAAAACCAGCCGAAGTGAGGGCAATGATCTTTATGACCGGTTTCATTCTTGCCCCTCTTCGTCGAATGATGAACGCTTGTACGGCACTGCCGCATCACGTGGACAACAAACGGCTTCAGAAAGTTGTCATCCAAATGGCCGGATCGATAGAGTGGTCATCAGTTCACATGAAGAGGCTGAAAGAAAATGTGTTGACACATAGCATAAATTCTTGGGGGTAAAGTATGATCTAATCGACTTAACAATAATCGGGACCAGTGGGGATTCAAAACCTAAAAGGCGCCGTATCAAACTGAGCTAACAAAGCAGGAAGAAGGATGACGTGAAAGAAAAGTACGACATACCTTAGCGGCAAAATGCCGAGAGAGGGCTTCATACACCTTGGGTTCCAGTAACAAATGTCCCAATTCTAATCCAGCGCCTTTCTCAGAGGAACGGCGAAGGGCGTTGGACAGTCGCAGAAACTGCGTAAACTGCAATACGAAAGAAGGGCGATTGTAAAGGAAATCAATAGCGTCACACCCAAACGACCGGTAAGCAATTGTTTGATAGGTACGAGTCAACGGTCTAGGTATGGTAGTTGATGTAACCTGGAATTCTCCCGGTGCGTCCTAAATAGCGTTCATAGGCAAAGCGTTTACATTAGGATGACGCATTCTTGGTAGGGCATATTTTTAATTATTCAATATTATGAGAGTGCTATGAAAGCAGACAGTAGCGCTGTCGTTAGTGTGGAAAAGAAAACATTAAAACCATGACTATGTGGGTGAGAATAACACTGCTAAAAGGTCCTGCGTTTTTCAGTGCGCGTTGGTAAATCTGAAGCCCACGTCAATCGAGGTCATCTTAGAGATCAAAGTCAAGGGGTTAGGAAAATTAAACAGCTAAATCATGCAAACGTTGAAGTGTCACTGTAAAGGCTATGATTTGGTTTCGGATGGTGTTGTCAAGCGGTCTAAAAGACGAGCACAATCAAAGTCGAATAATTTTGTTGGTGAGAAGACATTCTCAGTCATCAAAAGTAAAATGTACCGAAAGAATTCGTTTTCAGTGGTGCATCTTCAGGCTAGTACTCCACGATGGCAGTGATTAAATGAAACATACTAGTCAAATGCGAAGAGGTGTCAGCAGTACGCTGATACGCAATACCTACGTTCCGCTGCCGGGCAACCATCACCAGTTGCATGCGGCTAAGGATACTGCGAGAGTCGCCCGGTCCCCTACGCAAGCTCGTAGCCAAATGATTAGTCTACTCAGGGCCAAGTCAGGGGACATAGCGTGATCGTCATCGTTAGTCGAGGCGGGTTGTGGCCAGGGCAGCCGAATCATCATTATCATCATTATACAAGTTAGCTAAAGGTGGGAAACACCTCAGCTAGTGTGCCGCAATACATAGAAGAAAAAAGGAGAAAAATATGCAACAGCTGCAAATCAGCTGAGCTACCGGCAACGGACGGGCATGGTTCCGGTAAGCTACCAGCCGGCTACTGTGCGTCAAAAAGTTAAAATGCAAAATTATATAAGGCTAAATAGTGAGAGGGAAGGGGAAGCTAACAGGGATGGGTGGGACAAAGAAACTCACAGCACGAACGCCACTGAGGTCGGCTCCTAGCCATATCAGCAAGGGTATCCAGCCAAACGTGTTCATCGTCTTTCGGACCCCAACCAGGGAGCCGCGACGCTCCAACCGAGGCCAGCTGCGAAGTGAGGGCCTTAATACCTCACGACCAAGTCATCACTTGCCCACCCCTCCTCTTCTTCCATCCACACCCACGGCGCGCAAACAACGCACGTCGCGGGAGCCGGTTGGCTGGCATACGTAACACGTGGCCGAGACATCGGAGCTTAGTGCGTGAAATAACGGTGCTGAATGGTTCAGTTCCTTTTCCTATGCCGTAAACAAGGCGTCGAATAAGCTCGTTGCTCACGTGGTGTTCCCAGTAGATGTGAGCTAAATTACGAAGGAACCGGTGGTCGAACGTTTGTGACGGTATGTTGTTAACACAATATGTAGGCGTCAACCCTGAATGCTCGCTTAGGGCATTAAGGTCTTCAGGTAAGTCCCCCTTCTCTCCCTATTATTATTACTTAGTCCATAGGTCACCGTGGTTGTGTGGCAGCGAAACATCAGTTCGAATGGCTGATGTATTGCTGTTGATGGTGATGATGACACCCGCCGGACTGAGTGCACACTTCGTACGCTGTTATCACCCAAGACTGTTTTGAACAGAGTCAATGAATTATCCTCATCATACTGGGAGAAACATGTTGAAATTGAATTTGCCTAGCAGCTAACAATAGACTTTCTCAGTTTATATGGTTGTGAATGCACTTGAAAAGTGTTACACAGAATAAGTCATTGGATTACGAGGTCATGCAGAACATAGCAGCATATCTCGGATCAATCTTGTCACCAAGGCATCAAGGTTGCTGCACGTCAAGTAAAAATAGGAAATAGCAGAATCCACCAATCAGTGATATCTTCAGTTTGCTATTGAATGATGTGCTAGTGTTTCCATTGCATCGTGGCTCGTAAGGTGATTAATGAAGAGGAATGCTCACACAGCAACTGCGGAAATCCGGACACAAATATTAACGGTCGTATAGACTGGGATATCTAATGAAACGGTGAAATAAAAGAGCTACCGCTTCGTGTAAATCCCGTCTTTCAGCTGTTAACAGCAAGAATCGAAACGAACACGCCCCAATGGTGCGTCCCAGGCTAGCTACGAATGAACGTTTCGGTTAGCAGTGACCAAGATGCAAAACACGGTATAGAATCGTCAGCCAAATTCATCGTGAACTGTACATAACAGATCGATAAAAGCTCGGACTCGAAATGGCCTAGGTGAACTTCAAAGCAAACGTCAATCCAAAAGCTGTACACTGCAAGCAGAAACACAACGATCACTCACAAATCCACGTGAAATCACAACTACTGCAGATGCGTGACGGAGCTGGTACTCCGATGCTGAGACTGGTAGTCGGAAACATAATGTTGTTTACACGAATTTAAAAAGTTCCGAAACAAGCAGCGTCAAAAAAGATTGCTTCAAATCGGTTGAAGTAACCTTGCCACTTCTCCTCAGGTACAGGCCACAAAGTTTGGAAAAAGAAAAGCCAAAGCAATGCATAAAGAAAGAAAGGCATTAGCAGTACGCCGGTACGAAGTACCGACGCCTCGTTGCCGCGCAACCCCCACCAGTTGCACGTGGGCCAAGGATGCTGCAAGGGTCGTCCTGCCTCTATGCAGGCTCGAACCCGCGCCGTCAGATTAAAAGACAAGCTCGTTATATTTAGGTTAAGGGCCGGCATAAAGAATGAATCAGCAGTACGCGAGTGAGTCATGTTGATGTGCCGCTGTCATCCGGCGGCCATCCCCGGTGGCTTGCGGGCCGGGAATAGTGCGAAGCCGCCAACACCAACACAGGCTCAAATCGGCGACCTTTGGACTAAAGTCAGACGCCTGAGCCATTCGGGCACCGACCGGTGTATAGGGAAATCCTGCAAGCTGCACACCACTTCCGGCCTGATATAGGAAAACAAGTATATTCCATCGAAGCCATTGCGTGCTTGTAATGAGCAAGGATAATTACTCGTTAAGAGGAGTAGTTCGAGAAGCAAATAAATATTATAATAATGTGTCAGCTGCACGCCGTAATGGTGCTTCGCTGCCGCGCGACCACCACCAGTCGCGCGCGGGCTGAGTATACCGCGAGGACGCCCACCCCTAGGCGGATTCGAACCGGTGACCTTATGGTTGCAAAGCAAACGTGCAGACCACTCGAAGCAAATAGTTAACAGCGGAGGAATTTCATGACCTGTTGACAGGCAGTATCACCTATTCGCTTTTGTCAAGCAGTTTTAAGGGAGAAAAACAGATTAGGTGCTTCAATCTAAAAAATGGACAAGGCAGTAATAAGACTAGCAGCTGGTTCTGTGTCCCACTGATAATACGTGCGCAAATATGCGACAGATGAAGCTATCCAATAACAATGAACATTCGGACCACATCACAATCAGTCGCTGTTGCCTATGCCTAGGGTCTAATGGCAACAACCAGTGACTAACAGGAGTACGATCGCATGTTCGGTCTCCAACCGGGTCAAATGGAATGCAGTGTCGGGTTCCGGGAAGAGTCGTTTAATACACATCCAGGTGTGCGATGGCTAGCGGATTAAAACAAAATTGAAAAACATCACACGATTTACGCGTAGTAGGTCTCGATACGAACTACACGCCTGCTTGAAGTAGAGCAGACTCGATTACATGGGACCCCGTGATTTTCTCGAGGCCATTCCATATCCGGAATAAGAATTTCTCTTGATATTTACTAATATTGAGGCTTACGCCTTGTGTTGCTCCAGTTTAGAGTATGCATAAAGGCATAACAAATTAGTGGGCGCATTGTGATACAGCCGAAATATTCTTGGTTGAACAACCACAAGCAAAAGGGAAAAGGTCAGGGAGTGCGACGGTGGAAATATGGCAACAAGGGAAGCGTTGCAAACCTTAGAGGTCCATGAAAATGCAAATTAAGGACTGAGCCAAAAATAAAGAACAGGGCCAAAAAAATCGGTTCAATAAACTAAAAGACTAAGGTGTTAGAAAGAACCATACGATAGAAGCAAGGTGGATGCAAAATGATACTGACTCTGTTGTATCAAGAAAGCCGTAGGAAAGGTAAAATGTATCTCGCAAAATTAACCAAGTACAACTGAGTCAATCCCTTGTTAAACGGAGAGTCAAGCGACAGACGCACACAACCAATAGTAATGAGTCAGCAAGCCAACCAATGAGATCGAGCCAATCGATGTTGCTGACATGGTTACCACATTATCGTTCCCCCTCCGAAAAGCTGCCTCAACCGGGTTCGTAGCGATCAATAGGTTTCACCGTTCTCGCGGACCGACGCAGCTGGCTTCGTGGTAATGGTAACTCAGCCGGGTCTTCGCGCGCGGATCGGTCGGGCTGATTAGCTGGTCCGTGAGCTGTGTGGAGTCGACGCGCGTTGACAATTAGGCCGTTCTCCAATCGATAGGTGCCCGGGCCAAGCGTACGGTCGATGCGCAGTGGAGCGGAAAGCGAAGGTGTGCCTTTCTTTGTTGCTCTGCTTTTGACGCGAACGTATGTCCCGGGCTGCATTGGTGTTGATAATTTAGCGTAGGAATTTTGGTAAGATGCTATGCGATTTGAAACTTCGGCATCTCTCGCTGATAAAACGTTATGTGCAGCATTTAACTTTGTGCGTAAGGGCCTTCCTAGCATCAGCTCCGCTGGCGTTCTTCCTGTGGCTCTGTGGTCACATGTTCTGTAGGAAAAAACCGCAGTTAAAACTGCATCCTCCCAGTCCGAACCTCCTATGTGTATGGCTTGTATAGCTTCTTTTAAAGACCGGTTTAAACGTTCGACCATGCCGTTGGCTGCAGGATTGTAGGGCGCAGTTCTGGAGTGCTTAATGTTATGGCAATGTAGAAAATCTGCGAATTCGCGGCTACAAAATTGTGGCCCGTTATCCGTTACTATTTCATGCGGTAAACCGAAACGGCTGAACAAGTGTTTAAGCCAACGTAACACAACCGAAGTAGTAACTTGGTCGCACATGTGTACTTCAGGCCATCTACTGTAAAAACATGTAGCAACAAGTAGATTTCGCTTATTCGTAGGAGCAGTAGCGAAAGGGCCCATAATATCAATGGCGATTTTGGTCCATGGTTTCATCGGGTAAGCAATTGGCTGTGTCGGGGCTTTAACGGGCAAAGAACTTTTGTCCGCTAATCGGCAAGCATTGCAATTGACCACAAATGTCTCAATGCTAGATGCCATTCGTGGCCACCAGAAATAGAGTCTTACTCGATTTTTGGTCCGAACTATACCTGGATGTCCCTCATGTGCGCAAGCTATTATCTTGGCTATCAACTGGGACGGAGCTACAAACACCGAACCGCGCATCAGGCAACCGTCTACCACTGATAGTTCATGTCGAATTGCATAATACGGAATGAACTCACCGGGGATTTTGTTATTCTTGGGCCAGCCCTGCTGCACATATTCAATAATCTCATGCAGTAAAGAATCGTTAGAATTTTCCCTTCGTAGTTCCTCGATCGTCAAGGCAGACAGGTTAGCTCCGAGACTGGAAACTAGTACCGCCTCTCTGAGTCTCTCTTTTTCATCCTCCAACCCCACGGGTAAGCGAGATAGGCCGTCAGCAATCTGATTTTGCAAACCTGGCCGGTACACAATTTCAAAATCGTAGTTAAGGAGCCTGGCATACCAGCGATCGATTCGCATTGGGCGAGATCCTTTAGATCCATTGCTGAGAAGAGCTGTTAGGGCTGAATGATCAGTACGCAGAATAAAACGACGACCGAACAGAAATAAATGCCACTTTTCACAGGCCCACACACATGCAAGAGCTTCTTTTTCCCCAACTGAATAATGACGTTCGGAATCTGATAGCTTTCGTGATGCGTAGGCAATAACTTTCTCCTCTCCGTTTTGTATTTGTGAGAGGACAGCTCCAAGACCGACATCAGACGCGTCAGTGGACACAAAGGTGCGGCAAGATTCATCAAAAATGGCAACTAAGGGAGCAGACGCAACTCTCCTTTTCAGTTCATCAAAGGCATTTTGATGATTGCTGTCCCAAACGAACGACGATCCTTTCTTTGTTAACTGTCGTAATGGATCTGCCACAGTCGCAAAATCCGGCAGATAGCGCAGGTTGTAAGAGCACATTCCTAAAAAGGACTTTAGTTCTGTCAAATTTTTCGGTGTTGGCGCTTCAGAGATGGCCCTGATATTTTCATCACTTGGTCGAATGCCACTGCGTGAAATGACGTGTCCCAAAAACTGAATTTCTGGTGCATTGAAGAGACATTTTTCTGCGTTCAGACGCAAATTGAGATCACTGAGGCGCTGGAGGACTTTGTGTAACCTTGCATCATGTTCTTCCTGTGAGCGGCCGAAAACACAAATATCATCCATGTAGGCAACCTGCCCATCGATACCTGCCAGGGCGTGAGTCATGAACTTTTGCCAGGCGGCGGGCGCGGAACTCAAACCCATGGGTAAGACTTTGTACTGAAATAGGCCATCAGGAGCGAGGAAGGCAGTTAGGTGTTTGGAATCATCGGCCAATGGCATATGGAAAAACGCACTTTTCAAATCTAGCTTGGAAAAAACAGTTGCACCAGCTAAACGTACAGTGAGTTCATCATTAGATGGTAAAACAAAGCGTTCTACGACGATCTGTTTGTTCAGCGCCTGCAAATCGTTGCATATCCGGACAGTACCGTCTTTTTTCATGACACAAACCATTGGATGCACCCACTCAGAGCAATCGATGGGTTCAATCAAATCATTTGCTAGCATCGCTTGCAGGGCTGCAGAGACCGCTTCACGTTTCGCTAGCGGAATGGGTCGAGGTTGACCAATGGCGATCGGTTTCGCATTCGGTTTCAGCTGAATTCGATGCACACCACATGGAATACGGCCGATGGACTTCTGGAAGAGCTGCGGATAATCTTCCTGCCAGTGTGCTACGTTGACGGAAGAGATAAGCATGCGGTCGAATGATGGTACAATATGCAAAACCACCATAGCATTCCTCCCAAGCAAGGGTCGTCTGTTGTCCGAAGAAATATACACTGCGACATCGGCAATCACAGAATGCAACTGCAAAGGCACGATAATAAATCCCAATATGGTTAGTGTGTTCCCACTATAACTCCAGAATGAATGTGAGGTGGGATGTAAAGTATGCTGTGATAGGTAGCGTTCATAAAATTGGAAAGGCACGATAGTAACTGGAGAAGCAGAATCAAGTTCCATTTCCAATGGAACAGCACCTTTAACAGTAAGGAACAATACAGTACGAATGTCAGCAGCGGGAAACTTCGGTTCAACAACGGATATGGTTACACAACCTGAATGTATGGAGTCAGCAGTGATTGAATAGATATTGTCTTGAGTTGAATCGGTAACATGGCATTCCGGTGTATCATCATCTTTAATGAGTGCGACAGCCTGCGATCGACAGCAGCGGGCATAGTGACCAATTTTACCACAGTTTTTACATTTGAAGCTGCGTGCGGGACAACCGGCAAAATTAGCTTTGTGAGACGTGCTCCCACAACGATAGCAAGAAAGTTTGTCTGTCGGACGTTGCCGGAAAAATTGTACTCTCGCCACTTCAGCTAAGCTGGTGGAACAAAACTGCTTCGATTGCAATGAAATTTCTGTCTTTACTCGGGCTAATTCGCAAGCTCGATCCCACGTTAGTGTGCAAGCGTCTTTCTGCAATAGCCCCTCACGTATGCGATTGTCAGCGATTCCAGTGATCAGTTGCTGAGTGAGCATACAGCCTTCAATCTTTTTCTGTGGAATAGACGAGTAGGCACACGGTCGTACTGCACGATTCAGCCGAGCAATGAAATCATTCAAGGGTTCGCCTGCTTCTTGGTGTATTCGGGAGAAAATATATCGCGCAGTAAACACGTTCATTTGGTAACTCCATGCACGATCGAGAGCATTGAAGGCGTCCATAACCGATTTGCATCCTTGGAGACCCAAATCATCGAATTGTCGCTGTCCCACATCTCCGAGTAAATGACGAAGCAGCTTCAATCTTTTATCCTCAGTAAGAGCAGTAGGGAGATCGCTGATTAAATCCAAGTAGTTTAGGAAGGATGTTTTCCAACGGAACCAGGCATCCGATGTCGGTTTGCTGCCGCAATCAGTCCAAAATGGAGATGGGGGTTGGATGGAAAGGTTCATTTTTGCCTCCGCGACGCCACAATGTTGTATCAAGAAAGCCGTAGGAAAGGTAAAACGTATATCGCAAAATTATCTAAGTACAACTGAGTCAATCCCTTGTTAAACGGAGAGTCAAGCGACAGACGCACACAACCAATAGTAATGAGTCAGCAAGCCAACCAATGAGATCGAGCCAATCGATGTTGCTCACATGGTTAACACAGACTCCTCAGCCGCACCGAAGCAGAATTTCAAAATGAAGCGGCCTATTGCGTAGTTCGACGTGTGTCGAAAGTAATAAGTTCGTCAGTTAAAATGCGCATGCCTCAAATGTAAAAACGTCCGGTCAACATGATGCTTCGGGCCGCCGGATAGATGCACAATAAACATGCTGGATTAGAGACAAAATGTCAGTGCCAAAACAATACCAGTATGATAAGATGAACAACAAATACAAGATGCTGACAAACCTCGCCAGCTGCGACGGATACATCTGCGAATGCCGCCATTTTACAGTTGAAAACGTATGCCCTGGACAAAACTTGCGAGAGTATAGTCCAGTTCATGTTATGAAAACTGTCATTACTGGCTGTTGCATTTAGAATTTCACAATTTGGAAAAGCGTTTTTCCAAAAGGAAATGCACATTGGAAGGATATAGGCCTGTCGAGGCAATAAAGGCGTGTTCGCCGGTAAGGTGAGAGCCTGGTAGAGCAAAACGCCAACTTTTGTGTCTGTACTCTTCAGAGACGCCCAAGCTTGATATCCACAGGTATTTTTCTTCTCTTTCTTCTCATGAGTGATGTTGGAATTTGTGCTACTTCCTGCTTCATCGCCAGATGACACCTCTGAAAAATTTAAAGGTGTGGAAGAAAATCTTACTAGAATCGTACTTGACCTTCAGTTGGGATTGAAAGTGTCGGACAAGAGGCACGGCAGTTGAGTTACCTAAAGGTTACATCAGAAAATGTAGTAGAACTAACATAGCCTCCGGCAACAACGCAACTTCATAAGACGACAGGCCGCAACTTGCGACAAATCGAGTAGGAAGGGCAATTTCGAGAAACTGAAACGGAGGAAAACATGAATTTAACAGTAAACTTTACAACAGCATCGAAGATTGCGTTGAATTGAGTGAAAACGGGAGTAGTGTGTAACGAGTGTATCGAAGAAATACCACCGTCATCATCCACGACAGCAATACCACAGTAATTTGTACGGTTTCACTGTCACACAACTATGAGCACTCTACTATGCGAAACGAGGAGGCAACTGATAAGAAAACCAAGTGATTTAAGTAAATGCTCAAAGTCAAGTCAAGTCAATACAGGTTAGTTGAGAGTGAGAAACCCCTCAGCTAATGTGTCATAAGGAATAAGAGGGCGGGAAGGCCTGAGCAGTAGCGTCCAAACTCTTATCCACCCTGCTCGATGCAGCAGATAGGGCGCCGTTGATTATCCTCTGCGACGGCCAGAGCATCAAGAGATTGTTAGAAGGAAAAGTCATGGTGTATTGTGTGGGCATAATACTGTCAGGTTGCCCAGGCCTAGACAGGAGAACGATTAGGGTTCTCAACCAAAGCCTTTGGCTCAAAAACCCTACCGCAAGGCAGCGGGGTTCTAGCACTGGACTACAAAGAGCACGTTTTATGGGGTAAGAAGCCACCCTCACTCCAACCGCCAAGCTGGAGGGTCAGGAGACTGAGTTGGTCTGGACTTCAACCATTGACCAATCTGGTAGGAGTGGCTTTGAAAGTGCAAAGCATCACCCATAATAGCTCAATGGATCATTGAGACACAAACCATCGCACCACGTTAAGGTCCAGTCTCATCGTGATGGGAAAATGCTCAGAAGTAAAATGCACACGACTTGTCAACAGCACACAGCAACAAACATGATCGTTGTATGAAAATAACACGGAACCAGGAGACAATATTCTTGCGGCCTTCGCCGCCCCACAACAACCCAACTCGACAAGTTAGTCAGCATCGGACACAACACTACGACTTAGCGGATGTGACTAGTCCCTAAATAAAGTCACTGCTATTTGCTTGTCAAAATTGATTTTATTCACTCCACAAACGTTTGTTATCCGTCTTGAAGATTTCTTTTGATCCCTTCCGACGCAGACGACTCGCCCGAACACAATCACGAATGTAGCAGCACATCTACAAATCCAAGCAACACCGTTATACACACATTCCTACATGGTTGGCAGCACCCGATTCTGGACTGGTTTAGCACTGCGACCCACATCATCATCATTATTACACGTTAGCTGGAGGTGGAAAACACCTCAGCTATTGTGCCGCAATACAAAAGGCAAGGAAAGAAAAAAACAAACAGTGGCACGCCCGCTGAGTCCCCAGTAACGGATGGACATCGTTCCGGAGAGCTAAACAGCTGGCTGCCGTAAAAGAGAGTCATGTTATACCTAACAGGTGAGATCGTGTTTAGAGGGGGATACTAAACAGGAGGGGATGGACAAAGGAACGCACAACACAAACGCCATTGGGGCCGGCTCCTAGCCATATCAGCAGTATGTCCAACCAAACGTGTTCTCCGTCCTTAGGACCCCAGCCAGGCATGTCGGGATGCACTAACCGACGGCAACTTCGTAGTGAGGGTTTCATTTCTCTCGACTAAGTCATCACTTTGCCTCCCCTCCTCCTCTTCTAACCACACCCACAAAGCGCAAACAATGCACGTCGTGGGAGTCGGTGTGCTGGCATGCGCAAAACGTGGCCTAGCCATCGGAGCCTGGTGCGTGATATAATCGTGCTGAGCGGTTCTCTCGCTCTTCCTGCACTAAATACGCGACGTCGAACACGCTCATTGCTCACGTGGTGGTTCCCACCAGACATGAGCTAAGCTGCGAAGGCAGCGATGATCGAATGTGACGAGTCTCTTCATGTCTGTCGCCC